TGTAGTCAAGTCTCTTTGTTTACTCTTGGGTTTCCAACCTACTTGGCTTTTGCCAATGCTTTTATACCATGAGTCCAGTCGATACCCTTTTGTTGTTGTCGGTTGTCGTTTTATGGGCTGGCTGTCATAGTCCCCATTCTCTTCTGTTGTAGTTGGTTGCAATCAAGTCTCTTAGGCACTGTTATACGATTAATTTTAACAGTTAGATTTTGGCCTTGGGATCTAACTTTCAACAGAGCCGATAGTACTTCCTTTGGGTTTCTAACCTCTTTGGCTTTTGCCCATGTTTTATACCTCAGGGTTTACTATCGAGTTTCTAACCCATTTGGCTTTTGCCAATGACTTTTATACCCTGAGTTTAGTCGGCACCCTTGGGTTTCTAACATATTTGGCTTCTGCCGGTTTTTTACCCCAAGTTAAATCAACACCCTCGGGTTTTTAACCTATTTTGGCTTTAGCCACATGGTTTTTTACCCGTAGGTTTCATTGATTGGTTAAGCTTGCCTGCTTTCTGTTTTAACCTTGCTGGGCCTGTACGCATGCCTTTTTCAGCACCTCAAGATTCTCTTCCCTAGTTTCATTGACTGGCTTCTTGCTTATCGACCTGCTCCTAGGTCTGTCCCAGTTCGAGTTTCTTGATCAGCTGCTTGCCGACCTGACCGGTTGAGGACGTCGGTTCGAGGTTTGTCGTTTCCTCCAATCTTCAGTGTGCTCCATGCATTGCTGGTTGTCTCCCCAACTCCTTCAATCATCAGAGCTTTACCCTTTCGTGGATCGTGAAAAAGCACTAGTTGCTCCATCTCATGTTGCTCAAGTTTTTGCAGAAGTAGGGACATGCTCTGGTGCATTCCTTCAACCTTCTTTTGTAAGACAGCCATCTTGTCACGCTGTTGATCCAGAATCTTGATCGGTTTGTCTTTCTGTCCGAGAATTGGTCAGCCAGTACCCTTCTGTCCGTCATCTGGTTGGTCAGTATCCTTCGGTCTGAGAACTGATCGGTCACTCTCTCCTTCGACTGTCTCGGGCGGAGTGTACCCTTATGAACTTTCCTCCTGTGGCGGCATTCTTCATCAGAATGTTGTGGACTCCTTCCCGAACTCATGTCGACAAGTCTGCAATATCTAGTCGTTCCTACAGACGGCGCCAATTGTTGATGCTAGAATTCTGCTTCTTGGGATTTCCCTGAATTCGCACCAATCTTCTAGAACAAAGGGATTGATGAGACCTGCAAAACAGAACAACACTAAGATTGGTGTGGCCTTTGCCACACAGGCTCCGATGCCTAAGTTAGTATCGAAGTAGTCGGGTATAAAGAGTAGGGTTGTTTGGCATACCAAAGAGTAGAGATTTGTCGCCCTTTTTTAGGGTTTGACTTACTTACCTATTTATAGAAGTTGAATCCTGATCCCTCTAGGAATTGTGGAATTCGAATCCTGATACATCTAGGAAATCTGGTTATCTGAATCTAGGGAGAATCTTGAGGCAATCAGGATATCTTCTCCTTTTGAATATAGGATATCTTCTCTTGAATCATAAAGCCATCAAGATATATCTTCCCTAAGGAATATGAATTTTCTCATCCATAACAATATTTATGATAAATAAGATATCTATTATCATCTGAAATTTTGATGGTTCGATTCACTATGGTTGCACTCAACCAAAAGAAAAAAAGTTATAAAAAATATAGATAATAGCGCTATAATATATATATAAATTAAAACTCACGAACACATCCCATTATTTAAGAAATAAATATATTTCTTAAAAAAAAGAAAAATAAAAACTTAACCTAGAAAGAAGGAATGAAGGAAACAAATGGAATACCTTCGTCCCACATTGGAAATGCATCTAGAGGAGTGTTAGTGGCTCTTCTATAAAATCTCGACTCTCATGACCAAAATATCTCGTAGATGTGTAGGTTCTTTTCACTTGTGCTGGTACATGGGCTTGCTTTTACGGGCCCATTAGTAAAATAAATATTTTGAACGACAATTTGTCGATATTGGTTGATATTTTGCACTGTTATCGACATTTTTAAATGTCGATGACATAAGAGGAAAAACGATGTTTCTCTTCGTTTAAATTAGGGGTGAACATCGATCGGTCGGCTCGATTTTCAGGCGTAAATCGATGCTGAGCGACGGATGGTCGGTTTACGGAAATGGTAACCGACCGATCTTTGTTGCTGCTGTTCCACCGACCGACTGAATAGTTGATTATTAGAATAATACTTTCTCTCTCTTATACTGTGTAATATGTTATCGATTTCAAATTCTTCTCTTCTGCTGATTTGTAATTTGTTCTAGATTGTGAACATCTTGATTCTCTGTAATCAATCTCATGGCAAATCAATCTGATACTTCCCAAGAACCATCGGAAACACAAATTATTCCTCAACCGCAAATTCAAGATCAATTATCTCCAACTATTGATTCACAGATGAATCAATTGAATATGTTTCTTCTTCATCATTCCTTAGGACTGGCAACAGTTCTTGTCACTCAGCAGTTGACAGGAACAAATACTTACAATTCTTGGAGCCGAGCAATGATGATTGCATTATCGTCTAAGAACAAAGCTGTTTTTTTGTTGATGAAACTATTCACAAACCGAGCGGAAGCCTTTTACCTGCCTGGAAATGCAACAACGACGTAGTAATTTCTCAGATAATGAACTTTGTTTCAAAGGAAATTGCTGCCAATTTGGTCTATTTTGATTTTGCGAAAGATATTTGGGATGAACTTAAAGATTGCTTCCAACAAAGCAATGGATCGTGAATCTACCAATTGCGAAAGGATTTTGTGACTACTACTCAATGTTGATACTAGGTTCTGGTAGATCGATTCTCTCCGCTCCATGCACCAACTCGAATACTTCAAGACCAAATACCTGCAAAACTGAACAAAAACCCTAACCCGGTGTGACATGCCTAAGTTAGTAAAAGGAGAGATTACTTAAACAAGTAAGAGACTTGAAAGTGTAGTCTTGGCTTACCTTCAAGGGGTGACCTCATTCCCTATTTATAGTCGATTTGCCCCCTAGGGTTTCTCAGGACGTCAACCCTAGGTTGGATTATTCGTGGGCTTTGGGCTAGAAGACTTCCAGCTTCGGTAGAGGAACAGGTACAGGGCTCCACTTTGGGGTCAAAATGTCATACGCTTGAAATAAGGACTGAGAGGGAAAAGGAGAGCGCCGAGGGCCGAAGGGGTCGGCGCCGAGGTGGGGTCGTCCCTTTGGTGGGCCGGCTCTGCTTGTCAATGGACCCGATTACCCTTCCTGACGCCTTGGTCCGGCTCTGCTTGTCGATGATCCCGATTGTCTTTTCTGATGTAGCCCAATCTTCTACTATATTGTTCAATACATAACACACAAGAACCTATCTGTTGAGGCTTACTACACCAAATTGAAAACAATTTGGCAAGAATTATGTGAGTATCGTCCCTCAAATTCTTGCACTTGTGGAAGATTAAGGAAAGCATGGGACTATTTTAACTCTGAGTATGTTATGGTGTTTTTAATGGGCTTTAATGAATCATTTGCTAGTGTACGAGTACAAATTCTTCTTATGGATCTTATTCCAACTATAAACAAGATTTTCTCCCTCATTATTCAAGAAAAACATCTGTTCGCCAATTGATTTCTTCTTCAGATTCAATTGCTTTAGCTGCTGTCGAAGCCTCTAAAAAGAATGTGAAATGATTGTTTTCGCAAAAAGGAATACTAACGTCTTCATTGCACTCATTACGACATCAAAGGACATACCATTGATTGTTGCTATAAGCTTCATGGTTATCGACCAGGCTACAAACAACAAAATTTTCTCCAATGGCACCTAATTCAGTTGTTACTCCTTTTGTTGACAGGCCAAATACTGCTTCTAACACATTTGCTAATTCTTCCTTAGCTTCCTCCAATCAACCAGCATTTTTTGCAAGTCTAAATTCAATTCAATATGATCAATGGATGGAAATGTTTAATTTGCACTTATCGACTCCCAAATCAGAACCTATCACTGCTAAACCAATTTCTCATATAGCAGGTACACGTTTTTAGGTTTTATCTTCTTTTACAACCAATGCTTCGAATATTTGGGTGATTGACTCTGGTGCATCAACTCATATTTGTCATGTCAAAGACTTATTTACAACTATGGTCGTACTCACAACACTACAATTGTCCTTCCAACACTTGCACGAGTCCGTGTAGATTATATTGGTGATATATGGATTTCAGAGGATTCATGATGTTCTATTTGTTCGTGACTTCACATACAACTTACTCTCTGTCAGTTCTTTGCTTCAATCTAGTGTATACTCAATTACTTTCTCTATTGATTCTTGTCTTCTTTGGGAAAGTTACAATTGAGGATGATTGACAAGGCTAATTGTTCGAATGGGTTATACTTACTTTTCGAGGCAACTTTTGTTCATGTTGCATCTACTGTTTGTTAGGTTTCACCTACTACATGGCCCAATCGTTTAGGGCATTTGTCTTCTGCCCGTTTAATGTTGTTAAAGGACCATTTGGATATTTCTAATTGTTGTGTTTCGAACCTCTGCTCGGTTTGTCCTTTAGCTAAGAAGCATTGTCTTTCTTTAACTTCGAATAATAAAGTTGTTGCCTCTATTTTTTATTTGGTTCACTATGATGTATGGGGACATTTTCATATGTCTACATATAATGGCTATTCATATGTCCTGACAATAGTTGATTGTTCCAGTTTATTTGGGTTTATTTGATGAAACATAAATTTGATGTCTTGCACATTATCTCAGAGGCATCGTTATCCACCCAGATATTTGCGTGACTTCCATTGCAATCTTTTGCAACCTTCAAATGATTCTTTGTTGGATTCTATAACACCTTATCCGCTTGCTCAATTTATTTCTCATGATGGCTTTTAACATGCTCATAGCCACTTCCTACTTGCTGTTTCTACCGAATATGAGCCAAGTTTCTTTCACCAGGCTATTACTATACCGCATTGGAGGCATGCTATGGAGAGAACTGAAACTTGGGATTTGGTCTCTCTCCATGCTGGTCATCATGCAATTGGATGCATGTGGGTTTACTGTGTTAAATATAATCTTGATGTCTCTATGGATCGGTACAAAGCACGACTCGTTGCTAAAGGTTACAATCAATTGGAAGGTATTGATTTTCTTGATATGTTTTCTCCCGTAGCTAAGATTGTCACAGTTAAAGTGTTTTTAACTATTTCAACCTCCTTTGCTTGGCTAACCCAAATTGATATAAATAATACCTTTGGGCTATTATCGGGATTCAAAGTCTTCGTGTCAGTCTTTGGTTTGTCAGTTTAATAAGTCTATGTGGTTTCAAACAGGACTCTCGTCAATGGTTTCAATGGTTTTCGAAAATTTCAGCTGCACTTTTGGCTTCACTTTTTTTCTCAATCTAAGGTTGATTATTCCCTCTTTACTCGTGGTTCTGGTGCTTCATTTGTTACTTTGCTTGTATACGTAGATAATATTCTTATTACAGCTCCTTCTCTTGAAGTTATTGCTTCTGTTAAGCATCTTCTGCATTCTCATTTTAAGTTGAAGGACTTTGGTACTGCCAAATATTTTATCGGGCTTGAACTATCGCGATCTTCACGTGGAGTTTACTTATCTCAACGGAAATATTGTCTTCAGATTTTTGAAGATTCTGGTTTTCTTGGTGAGGGATCTGTTTCCTTTCCTATGACATCCAATTGTAAGCTTTGTGCTTCTTCTGGTATTCCACTTTCCACTGATGATGCTACTTCTTATAGAAGATTAGTTGGGCGTTTATTATATCTTCAAATTTCTCGCCTTGATATTTCATTTGTCGTACATCGCCTTAGGCAGTTTCTTCAACGACCATGCATGGGTCATTTGGATGCTGCTCATCATTTGCTCAGTTACCTTAAGGGTACTATTGGCCAAGGCATTTTACACCTTCGTGCTTCTTTCCAACTAAAAGTCTTTGTTGATGCAGATTGGGGAGCTTGTTTAGATAAACAACATTATGTATATGGTTTTTGTATATTCCTTGGTGATTCTTTGGTCTCCTAGAAATTGAAGAAACAAGGTACCGTTTCTCGATCTGTCGAGGCTGAGTACTGAGCTCTAACTGTTGTTTTCAGTGAGTTGGTTTGGGTAGCACATCTTCTCAATGACTTACAAGTTATTTCACCACTTATTGCCTTAGTATATTGTGATAATGAAGATATTGTGTCTATCGCTTCTAATCCTACCTTTCATGAGCAAACTAAACATATCGAGATCGATTGTCATTTCGTTCGTGATCAAATTACTGCTGGTTTTTTTAAGCTTCTTCCAATGTGTTCTCATTCACAGCTCGTTGATATCTTCACAAAGGCAATTTCTGCTTCAGTTTTGAAGAATTTTTTGTTGTTTGAAATTTACACACTCCATCTTGAGAGGGGTGATGGAACTTTAGACATGCACAGCAGAAGCTAACGATCATAATACACTTAATGAAACAATTTAACTAAAATAAGCATGCTGGAAAATATGATGAAAAAGGTAAAGAGGAAGTGATTAACTTTATACCTTTGAAGACCTCCACTATAACTTCTTCTCCTAACTCAATAGGACCACCAACGGCAAATCCGTGCTATCCTCGGGTTGATGAACACGGTTGTGGAACTGAATTGTGAGTGAAAGAAAAGGGAAAACACTAATGGCTAGGAGAAAACAATAGAAATTTGAGTGGAAAAATTATGCACTTATACAAGGAAGCATTAGCCTTCTCCAAGTGATCTACATCACTTATATAAAGACCAAACGCATGCAAGGACAAGCCTTGCATGCCTTCCACTTCAAACCCCACTAGCATGTAAAAGATAGGTGTCATTGCCTTGAAGAAACACTTCAAAAACCACTAGTTAGTGGGAAAATCCAACTTTGGATTTTTCCACTAACTTGATTTTTTAAATAAAACTTTTATAAAACTAATTTTTATAAAA